CATATGGAATGGATTGTGTTTTGCTATGGGATACTTGATTTAGTATTCGGTTAGCCGTAAGAACGGCTTCCCCCCACAAGTTCTATGGAAAACCGGAACTTATCAATAATGCGTTCATCATCTCCTTTAATGAACGATTCTTTCTTTCTGCAATCCCATTGGATTGGGGCATGTAAGGAGCCGTTGTTTGATGAATAATTCCATATTCTAAACATATTTGTTCAAAAGGAGATTCATATTCACCACCCCTATCACTTTTTATCATTTTGATTTTCTTGTTAAGTTGCGTTTCAACTTTGTTTTTGTATTGCTTGAATGCGTTTATTGCTTCATCTTTACTATTAAGTAAGTAACATAGCAATATCTAGTACTATCGTCAATACAAGTTATGAAATACTTTTTTCCACTGCGAGATGGTATTGACTTCATATCGCAAATATCTATGTGAATTAGGTCTAAAGGATCTGAATTCCTTTTAACTAACTTATGAGGATGTTTAACATACTTAGATTCCACACATATTTGACATTTTGATTTGTCACATTCAAATTTAAGCAATATTTCCAAATTAATAATTTTCTGCAAGGTTTTATAATTAACATGACCCAAACGTATATTTCATAATTCATTTGACTCAAGTAAGTAAGACGAAGCTGAAATTTTATTATTATTTTTAACAACCATTACATTCAGCTTGAAAAGGCCCTCGGTGAGGTAACATTTTCCTACAAATATTTCGTTCTTACTTATTATAACCTTATCGAAAAGAAAAACACATTTAAAACCATTCTTAACAAGAAGACCAACAGAGACTAAATTCTTCTTAATCTCGGGAACATGAAGGACGTTGTTCAAAGTCACCACCTTGCTAGAAGTCATCTTCAGAAAGATCTTCCCACATCCTTCAATCTTGGCGGATGCAACATTTCCCATAGAAAGAGTCTCTTCTGGTCCAACTGGAGCATATATTGCAAAAGCTTCTCTAATAGAACAAGAGGGGTTGCTCTAATGGTAAGTAACCTCCACTTCCAACCAAGAGGTTGTGAGTTCGAGTCTCCCCAAGAGCAAGGTGGGAAGTTCTTGGAGGGAAGGATGTTGGGGGTCTATTTGGAAACAGCCTCTCTACCCTAGGGTAGGGGTAAGGTCTGCGTACACACTACCCTCCCCAGACCCCACTAAGTTGGATTATACTGGGTTGTTGTTGTTGTTGTTGCTTCTCTAATAGAACAAACATGGTGAATGGCTCCAGAATCAATCCACCACTCCCTTAAATTTCCCACCAGGTTGCATTCAGAAAGCATGGCACACAATTCATCAACATCTTCATGTTTTTCAACCATGTTTGCTTGACCCTTTTTCTTGACTTTCTTTGGCGCACGGCACATTGTAGATTTGAGCCCAGCTTTCCCACAGTTGTAGCAATTTCCGTTGAACCGCTTCTTGCTTGGGTTGTTTTTTGGTCCAGAAGTCTACTTCATCTTTCTCTTATTTTGAGAAGTATCCTCACCAATGATTGCTCCAATTATTGTTGAGTTTCCATGGCCTCTCTTTTCAGCAACTTTGTTGTCCTTTTCGATTCTCAACCGAACAATGAGATCTTCAAGGGACATCTCCGTGCGTTTGTGTTTCAAGTAGTTTTTGGAGTCCTTCCACAGAGGAGGAAACTTCTCAATCATCGCTGCTACTTGGAATGCTTCATTGATGACAAGACCTTCAGTGAAAATTCTGTTAGTAAAAATATTAAGATTACTACTTTCAACATTAGTATTAATTTGATTTATACCTTCAGCAAGAAGATCGTGAATAATTACTTGCAATTCCTGGACTTGGGTATTAACAAACTTGCTATATACCATTTTGTAGTCCAAAAACTTAACGGCAACAAATTTTTTCAACTCAGCATCTTCAGTTTTGTATTTCTTTTCAAGCGATGTCCATAATTCTTTTGAAGTCTCTATGCCACTGTAGACATTAACCAAATCGTCTTCCAGTCCGCTAAGAACATAATTCTTGCATAGAAAATTAGAATGCTTCCACACTTCAATCACGAGAAAGCGTTCATTCTCTAGAGTTTCATCGGGCAGAACAGGAACATCTTCCTTGATGAACTTCTGTAGACTTAAAGTAGTCAAGTAGAAGAACATCTTCTGCTGCCACCGTTTGAAATCTAACTCGGAAAATTTTTCGGGTTTCTCTGTTGGTGCCAACGTTGGTGTTCGGCTTGTTGATGCATTGGCACTCACCATTGGAACAGCCTGATTCCTGTTATCATTAGTCATTTCTGTAAAAGAACAACACAAACGTTAAAATTACGTAGATTTTAATCTCCAACGGAATAAAAAACAACAAAGGTTTTAAACTCCAAAACAATGAATATAACACAGATACAAAATAAAAATTAAATTCCATAAGCTTGTTAGTAATCTGTATTTGTAAACTAATTCTATAAAAAATAGAATAATATATAAACATAGAATATAAAGAAACAAAAATCAATTCGAGCCCACTGAATTCATAGTGTTTCCTTAAGAAATTTAATCCCCTCCTAGTACCTAAGGTTATGGATTATTTCCTCCCAAGATAGAACGAATTACACACTGGTGTAGTGGTACTTCAAACCCCAGTGTTTCAGCGAACACAAAGTTCGGTAGCAAATCATACTTACTATAGCTTTATTTGATGTTAAAAGTATGCAGAAGGAGGAGAAACTCAGAAAATCGTATTGAAATTCTGAGCAGAATAGACTTGTATTTATAGCCAAAATTGGGCTGAAATCTAAAGAGGTGCAACTCTTTAGAATGGTTGTTTATGCAAAATGGCCATAGCATAAATGCCATAACATAAATGGCTATTTACTCAACAATAAAGAGGGAAAATTGAAGAAGGTAGTTTAATTTTCAGTTACACAACTGAAAAACGGATTGGATTTAATATTAATATTCTGTTATTAAAACGAATAACATTTCTGTCAATATTTTACTATTAACAAATAAATTTGGTCCAAAAGCCGAAGCCGAAGCCGAGCGACGACGACAACGGCGCGAGGCTTGTCTTCTTCTCAACTCTTTAAGAGCTAGAAGAAGGGCAATTGCTTATATACCCATAAAACTCCTCTTCCTCTTCCAATACGGAACAATATCCCTTTGCCAAGGGGAGAAACTTAAAATTTTACTTAAAAAAATTAATTTTCCTCCATTTTCCTCTATTTCCCATTCACCTTATTTTAAGCCTCATTATTCTTAAAATCTCCAATAATGTTGTGTATGTTAAGACTTACGAAGATCAGGGGCACAAATGTGTAAACAAAATATATTTAGTTTAATTAAATTCAGTGATTATTATAATTAAAGTCATGCATTATAAGCTCTTTACACTGGTTTGTGAACCTAACAACTTCTGAAATGTTGTACACCAGATCAAGCATGAACAGAATTCATAAGCTAAGAACCAAATAATTCAAAAGCTTGTCAACCTAGAAGCCTGTCAGTCATGCTTGACGACCTGCCCTCCATCATGGGCGTCGTCGGTCCGCCCTCCGTCATGGGCATCACAGAAAATACATACACGTGCCTGCAGAGGCGGAGCTAAAATACTAGTTACAATTTCGTTCGAACCTAATAGCTTTGGTCTGAACTCTATATTTGTTTTAAGAAATCATTGAATATGTAAAAATTATTAATTTAAAACTCACTAACTTAAAAGGATTAAATTCTGAATCCATAAGTTTTAAATCCTGATTCCGCCTCTGCGTGTCTGACATATGTCTTTTGGCGTCAGTTACGCGGCTGCTTCAGCCCAAAACTCCATACATTCTGAATCCATTAATAGAATGTATGACGTACTGCACAAGCAACTGCTTCGGCCCAAAACTCCTTTGGCATATTTTTGCTCTTTAACATACTCCATGCCATGTTGAGAATAGTCCGATTCTTTCTTTCCACAATGCTATTTTATTGTAGTGATCTTGCAACAGTCAAAAAATGATGAATTTCACTATTTTCACAAAGAACCTTAAATTCATTTGAGATGAATTCTCCACCATTATCGGACCGCAATGACTTAACTAGATAGCAACTTTATTTCTCCGCCATGCTTTTGAATTTTTTGAAAGTATCAAACACCTCCGATTTCATATTCAAAAAATACACCAAAGTTTTCCTAGAATAATCATCAATGAAAAGTAAAAAAGTAATTATTTTTAGCAAGTGAAGATGGCTTGATTGGTCCGCACACATCTATGTGAGTCAACTCCAATGGGCATCAGGCTCTAGTGAAAGACTCTTTAGGAAGCTTTCTCTTGCTTGCTTTCCAAAGAGACATCCTTCGCAAAGTTGGCTTGGATGATCAATATTTGGCAATCCATCCACCATGCTTTCTTTCTTCATCAACCTTAGATATATCAAAATTCACATGACTAAATCTTATATGCCAAAGCCAAGATGAATCTTTGGTACATGAAAGCAAACACCTTGGAACATTACATTGAAGGTCCAAAACAAATATTTTATTGTTAGCCATAGGAACTTTGGCTAACAAACTCCCATTTTCATCTCTCAAGAATAATTTTTTATCTTTTAAATGAATATCACAAATTTTCTTCAAAAGTTGTCCCAAAATGGAGGAAAGTGGAGGAAAGGATAATTTCTATTTAATTTGACTTGCTTCAAATGGTTAGGAATACATGACTATTTATAGAAAAAATCCTTCATGTATCTAGCCTAAAGTACATGTAAACATACTAATCATGTCCGCACTCCACATATTCCAAAGTACATCAATGTGTTCATACTCTAATCCATGTACTAACTTAATATTTTAGTTCATGAACAAATGTAGACTAATGTAAACAAATATGAACAAATAAAAAATAAGTTTATTATTTTCACATTTCAACATCCCCTTAAACTTGTTTCATCACCCCTAATTGTCATTTAATTGTATTCATTAAAACTTATTAAAGCTGTCTATTTTCTTTATACTAACCTCACGAAACTGCAATTTATGCATTTTTGGTTTATAGGTCAGCAATTCAAAAGTGTCCAATTTTTGAATTATGAATATGAAGAAAGCCACCCATTGAATCCATCAGCATCTGTTTCCCTTCTTGTACCCTCTGATATTTATTAGAGTTGATGACTGTACTTGGCTATTTTTGGTATCCTTTTGTTTTTACTCTAAGTGACCTCATTGGTCTGGTACATGGTTTCTAAAAGTTCAGTCCCCAAATTAAATTCTTGCATATATACTTTTATTTTTATTTATAATGTTCGCCTTAGACGAGTTTAAAAGGGAAAAATGATCAGATTCATATAGCCGACGCCAACTAGTTACGACTATGGCGTTGTTGTTGTTATTGTTTATATATATTATCTATCCGGAAATAATTCTGAGGCAGTAGCTCAGATCCCAGTTGTTGTAGCTATCCTGCAAAAATGTAACTTTTTTTTTCTTCTCTCAAAAATGTAACTTCTATGTTGATGTATTTTCAAGCTTTTCCGTGGGACTGCCGATCACTTGTTTGATTCATTTTCTGTTTCATTTAAGTGAGTAAAAGCTTGAGAGTGAATTCAAGAAGCCTAGATGACAGAAGCTAAATCAGGTTGGAGTAGAGAGCAAAATATAGCATTTGAGAATGCCTTGGCAGCTTATCCTGAGGATTTTGCAGATAAGTGGAAGAAAATTGCAGCTGATGTTCCAGGGAAAACCTTAGAAGAGGTTAAGAATCATTATGTCCTTTTACTTGATGATGTTAGCCGAATTGAGTCTGGTTGTCTGCCTTTGCCTTGCTACAACTCTTTCTCTGATTGCTACAACTCTTTCTCTGGTTGCCTTGCTATAACTCTTTGTCTGATTGTTTTAAAAGTAATCGAAATTTAGCCACTTTTTATGTAAAGATAAATCTGAGCGAAAACACTGTTCAAAACCCAAAAAATACGCCTGTATATTATACTGGAGTTCCAATATAAGTATGCTTGAACTCCAGCATATTATACGGGAGTTCAAAGATAACTATGCTGGAACTCCAGCATAATATGTTGGAGTTCCAGCATAAGTACACTAGAACTCCAGTATAATATACTGGAGTTCCAGCAAGTATAAATGTCCAGTATAATATACTGGAGTTTGGAGCACCGGTGCTTTAGTCTCCCGTATATTATACAGGAGTCAGCAAAGTATACCGGTCCAGCATAATATGCTAGAGTTCGTACACAGATGCACCGAACTCCCGTATATTATGCGGGACCGGTCTCTGTTGCAGCAAAATAGTGGCTATTTTTTATTGACTTCGTAAACGGTGACTATTTTTGAATGACCAGTCCGAAAACTGGCTATACCGTGCTATTTTAACAAATAGAGTATTAGGGAGTTATATTTGGGATCTAGGGGATGTGCAAGGCAAGCCTTTATTGTTGAATGAAATGTTTGAGTCCTCCCATCCCTATTTTGCATTCTCTGCATTCTCATCCCCTTCTTAGATTATTATTCTTCTATCCCTCTCTAGCTTTCCTTATGTATTTTGGTTATTAATTGAACAATCAATCTTCTTCTTCTGTTATTGTGAGTGTTCATATTTGGAGGTTGCTATAGAGGTCTTCAATGGAGGACCAAATAGTTCGAACTATCGATGATTCAATTAAGGTCATGAAGGATTCATGGTCTAAGGATTTGGCTGAAATTCGTTCATTATTACAGGAGTTGGTTGGAAACCTTGCAACAAGTAAGCCCACTCCAGTGGAATTCCGACGATTCTGTGGCGAGAACCAGAGCTATGGATTTCTCAGGCTGAACAATACTTTGCATTTTATAGAATTTCAGAAAACAACAAGTTACTTCTCGCCTCGTCCTATCTCGATGGAGAAGCTTTAGACTGGTACCGATGGCTCTTCCGGAACAAGCAGCTGGTGGATTGGGAACATTTTATTGTGAAGGTGCGAATTCGTTTCCGTCAAAAGGGAATAGAATCAGTCGAAGGACGATTAGCGAAGCTCCGGCAAACAACTAATGTGTCTGAGTACCAGAGTCAATTTGAGGCTATTTTAATAGGCTTTGGCGAGTCAGAGCAATCTGACCACAGAGGCAAAACAGAAGAGTGCAAGGTATTCGATGAAATGTTTGAAAAGGAGATCGATCGTAAGCACAACAAGGATGTTGCCAATACCAACGACCAAGTATTCAACATTAGTTCTCTTTCAAAAGTAACTACCTTACTCCCTATAACACCAATGGAGTCTGCCTTCAAGGATGGAAAGTCCGAGGAAGAGAGCGATGTGAAAGTGCTAGTCGAAGGCTCAGTGTCTGTTGTTCAACCGCAGCTGACTGAAACTAGCCTAATCAAGGAAGCTGCAAACCAGAGCATTTTTGCCAAATCTTACAGCATCTCGCTCACAGGACGGATACCGAACATCATGAGAAAATCATGTCAAAACATTTGGAGTATATTATCAAGTCTCGGGTTCCAAGTCTTCAATCTCTTATCAACCAAATTATGATTGAGTTGGAAATTGAGTTGAGCCCTCATAGAAATCACATTATCACGGCACCAGGGATAAAATCCAAGACCTTAACTCTAAGATTCTATTCAGAGTATGTGGTTTCTAACTCTATGACTCGCGTGTGGGATCCGGGATGGCAAGGGTGTATGTATTTCTCCATTTTTCTGTCTGATTTTGCATTGGTAGTTGCTACATCTTCAATCTTTAATCTCTTTGATAATTACTTAGAAAAGAATAAGCAGAATAAGAAAAGAAAGAAGATGGAACTGTTTGTATTCTCTTATCAGTGCATGATATTTGCAATGGATATTTGCTTGTGTCGTTTGAAAGACTTCTATATGCACTCCATTCCTACTGGAGGCTCAGTGCTCGCTTACATCAGACCAATATTTGGTGGGGGACGTGTTGATAGTAATGTTCCTAACTCGAACCTCGAGGACAAGGTTCTTTTTGAGGAGGGGAGTATTGTTGTGAACAAGGCTAACACAATAAGGACTTTTGGGCCAAATTTGTTGAACAAGACTGATCCAGTTAGAACTATTGGGCCAGGACCTAAATTAAGAGAAAGCCCAAGGATTAAACACCCAAATAGATTATTAGGGAGTTATATTTGCGATCCAGGGGGATGTGCAAGGCAAGCCTTTATTGTTGAATGAAATGTCTGAGTCCTCCCATCCCTATTCTGCGTTCTCTGCATTCTCATCCCCTTCTTCTAGGTTATTGTTCTTCTATCCTTCTCTAGCTTTCCTTATGTATTTTGGTTATTAATTAAACAATCAATCTTCTTCTTCTGTTATTGTGAGTGTTCATATTTGGAGGTTGTTACATTCATCTTTTCATCCTAAAATAAGTGTACTTAAAATTCCTGAAACTGGATCATGTTCTGTAGCAATTAGACTTCTCACTTTGTTGGCTATAACAACCAAGGTTGCAGTGATATATAAGTATGGAGAAAATAATTGATGATGCATATTCTGCATTTCAGACACAGTTTAACATCCTTTCAATTTAGTATTGACAGACTTTTTCTTCATTTTCTTTATCTATGTTGGTACGCAGATTGTTCCTTCTTGGTTTGGAAAAATATGGAAAAGGTGATTGGAGAAGTATTTCTCGGAACTTTGTTATGACAAGAACTCCTACACAAGTGGCCAGTCATGCGCAGGGGCGGAGCTACCCTGACACCCCTTCGCCGGAAAATAACACTGTGTAGATCGGTATTTTTAAAAAAAAATTGAATATATACAATGGGTTGACGACCCTTGACACAGGACAATCTCTTAGAGCAATGGTCAAGGGGTGTCAAAAGTGATTGAAGGTCGTAAGTTCCATTCCCTATTGCAGCATAGTTTCTATTTTTTGGCTTCTTCTTTAGATTTTGACACCCCTTTGTATAGATTCTGGCTCCGCCATTAGTCATGCGAAAAAATATTTCATACGTTTGAACCCTACGAACAAGGATAGAAGACGGTCAAGTATACATGACATCACCAGTGTTAATAATGGAGATGTTTCAGCACCTCAAGGTTCTTCTGGCAAATCAAACAAACGATCCATAGAAGCACCAGTTGCTCCCCTTGCAGTTGGCATATATGGAACGACCACCATTGGACAACCTGTAACCGCACCACTTGTTTCTGCCATTGATACACCAGTGAATCTTTCTGCACCAACGTACATGTCATACAGTATCATGCAACACACATCTGCGCATAGATGACATGCCGTTTAGAAATAGAAGTGTACACAGAGAAACCGTAGAGGCTTGTGCTTATTCATGCTAATTAGTGCAATCTTTCCAGTTGTGCATGAATAATCTATCTATATATATCTATATACTATATTAATTATTATTATTATTATTAATTATTAATTATTAATTAATATATTAAAAGCACGAAGCCCCTTAGCGAAATGTCGTTCGCCTTTTTTACCCTTTAAGAATTAATTTTACACTAGACAAAATAGTCATTTAACTCATTTTGCTAAAATTTAGGACTTACAAATTAACTATTATATTTTATGTATTAAATCCTTCCTTATTTAAACTGGGTAGAAAATACTAATATTCAGGACTTTAAAATCAATTAAATTTTTACCTTATATCAATCACTTAAAAAAAACCACCATCGTTTCTTCTCTTTTTTTTTTTTTAGGTAATTAACATTTTATTAATCACCAATAATCTTTACAATTCATAGCCTGCTATATCTATCAAAAAACAATCTCAAACCTACATACTATGTCTAATGAAACATAAAATGCTGGACTAAACTACTAATGCCTTTGGTAGCTCTCACATTACATATGTAGGCTATTTCTCTAGCTATGCAATCAACACTTCAACTTCCCTGCTGAAATATTCTCATGTTCCTTTCAATCCAAACACTATGTGTAACCTCTGCATACACCATTCGATACAATTGAGCTCCATAAGACCCGCATTTAGCTCTCTGTATCATCCATTGTTGATGTTGCACCCAGTTGTCTCGAACTACATCTTGCCTTTGCATCCAGTGTAATATCTTCTGCCACACTGCCTTAGTAAAGGAGCAGTTCACAAACAGATGGCCTCTAGTTTCATCATGCAACTGACATAGAGAACATTTTGAATCCACAATTACTCCTCATTTAATCAATCTTTCTGCAGTTAGAAGCTTACCCTGCAACTGCAGCCACATTGTGAATATTGCTTTTGGTCTAGTTTTGTTTTGGAACATCATACACTTTCAGTTGCCTCTAGGACTATTTCCCAACAGCTGAATGTAAAACTGGCTAACCATGCTCTTTTTGACCTTCTGCTTATGTTGAATTTGTTGTAGAATTGTTCTGGCACTTAGTATCTGTCTGACCATCCAGCTTGCCTGTTGTGGGATTGCCATGTCTTCTAGCCTCTTATCTTTGATGTAGTATGCATGAATCCACATTATCCACACTCTGTCTTGTTTGCTTGCTATCCCAACACAGTTTTGCTATAGCTGCCATGTTCCATAATTGTATGTTAATCAAACCCAAGCCCCCACTTGACTTAGGTGTATACATCCTACTCCAAGCCACCAGGGACTTTTTGTAATGGTATTGATTCCAGACTAAATATAACTTCTACAGTAGGCCTTATCATCTTCATAACTTTTACTGGTAAGTTGAACAACTGTGACCAATAGGATTGAATACCAAATAGGACTGTTTGGAACAGCTGCACTCTTCCAGCATATGAGAGCTTTTTGGCGGTCCATGAGAAAATCCTTGCAACTATCTTTTCTATTAGAGGATACCATTGTATCAGGGACAGATTCTTGGTAGCAAGAGGAATACCAAGATATTTAAATGGTAACTCTCCAATTGTGTAGCCCAACTTTTGAATAATCTCTACCCTGGTACTCTTTTGAACTCCTCCAAAATACATTGAACTCTTCTTCAGATTTGTCTGTAAGCCAGATACTTGAGAGAAGTGGTTGAAGCATTCTTGAATATGAGAGATAGAGTTGAGATCACCCCTAGCAAATATCAAGTGATCACCTGCGTAGCTTAGGTGGGTAATCCCTAACTTTGCACACTTGGGATGGAACTTGAACTTTTTCACCTCCTTTAGTTTGTTGAGCCTTCTACCGAGATACTCCATTATAATTGCAAACAAGAAATGGGAGATGGGATCACCCTGTCTTAGTCCTTTAGCAGCATCAAATGGTGGGGTAGTCTCTCAATTAACCATAATAGTGTAGTTGACAGTTGTTACACACTCCATTATCCAGATCACAAATCTCTCTGGGAATCCCATTCAATCATGACTTGCTCTAAGAAACTCCATTCGACTGAATCATAAGCTTTTTGGAGCTCAATCTTGATCATGCACCTGGCAGAAATATTCTTTCTTGTGTAAGCTTTGACTAGCTCACGAGCTAATATAATATTGTCTGTTATCCTCCTACCAGGTATGAAACCAGATTGAGCTATATTACCTATTGTATATTTTCTTAATTCTACGATATCAATAAAATACTATTGTCAATGAATTAATATTTTTCTAGAATAGATTATTGGAACTTAAAGCTAATGTTTTTTTTTGTCCCAATTATAAATAAACAAAAACTGCAGTCCTTGGAGTATATGTCAAGTACTATAAGAAATAATTTATTGAATAGTCAATTAATTATTTCTTAATATTTAACAGTTTAAATGAATTACAATTTTATTCATTAAAATCTTTCTTATTTGAATTAGGCAGAAAGTCCTACCATTTACAACTTTAAAACTGTTAAGAGTTTACTTTATACAAATCTATGTTTAGGAGTTTAAAATTAATTAAAATTTTACTTATTAATTTTTTTCTTATTTAAATTATGTAAAAAGTCTGAAACCTTTAAAAAATATATTAAGAGTTTATTGTATGTAAATCTTACACATAAAAACTTATACCATATTAAAATCACAAAGGCCCTTAGCGAAATGTGTTCGTATTTTTTACCCTTTTAAAATTAGAGTTCACACTAGACAAAAAAGTTATTTAATTATCTCCCTAAGATTTAGGACCTTTAAATTAACTAAATTTTTTAAGAATTTAAAATCAACTTATAACCATATTCTATTTACCAACGCCAAATCTTTTAAGACAAGATAATTACTTTTGTTTTCTTTTAATTTTGATACAAAGTTAGAAAGGTTCTTAGTCTATATGAACGAATATTATGTACCTTGGTTACAAAAAACAAATATTATCACCATGTAAGAAATAGACATATAAATTTCGGGGGGGGGGGGGAAGACTTAACCCGAGGAAAAAAATTAGAACTTATTTTAAAACTTTTAATCTCTTTGTTATATAAAAATAATGTATTTCCTACATAAAATATTTATTTTAGAATGTTGACAAATTAAATTAGGTTTTATTTATTATTCTTCATGGAAATGGAAAACTGATTATACTTACTTATAATCTATAGTCATAAGAAATGTTGTTTACTAGACCTTCCTCTAAATTAGAAAAATCAATCTTTAAATATATAATTCTCCATCATATACTACGTATTTTTTATATTGAGCAAGTTTTGTAATCTCTTTTGTAATAAAAAGTAGCTTACCTTCATTTTTCTACATAAAATGTTTGTGTTAGAATCTTGAAGATAAATTAATTGTGAAAAAGTTACCATTTATTTTAAAGCTTCATTATTTTTTGTATTCATTATTTGATAATTAATAAAAAATGTTATTATTTCCTTGTAGGGTGATCTTAATATGCATTAGATCTCCTTTTCAAAAGTTTAAGTTATTATTTAATTTTTCAAGCTTTTAATAATTTTAAGAAAAATAATAACTATTTAATTAATATCATTAGATGAAGATTTAAGAATATTTTTTTAAAGAACAGCTTCCCGAAGCCTGGCCTAATTAGGTGACTGGAGTTTTATGAAAAATTGCATTATTTAGTAGATATATTTGGGGATGTAGCGACGCATCTAACGAATAAACAATCAGATAAAATATTTATATCGAGTAGTTAAAGTTTATAATATGTTGATGAAATAACAATTTTGACAAATCGTGACATAATATAATATTGTCATTGATCTAATCGATGGTCGAAATTTGTATTACTTGTAATCTAAAGAGATGTTACACGAGATACAACAACATGACATATTTTCTTATTTCACAAGATATTATAATTATAAATATTATATAACTAATTCAACTATATTCATCATCTTTGTATGTTAAGAAAATATTGTTTCAATGTATACAATAATTTATTTATTTTTTTATATATATTTTATATTGATTGACGCAAAACACACGTACACTAAAGTTAGTATTTTTAATGTCGCATAAGTACTCTTTTGTGGCTTTCATTTTCCATTTATTTATAAAGTCAGAATAAATCATTACGCGATGCTTAGTTGTACAAGAAAGCAGTTTGTAATGTAGCAGCACTTAGTTCAGGTTCACCTTCTTATTCCTCAGTCTTCTAGGCATCCCCTCATGAGATTACAAGTTTAACAGGCATTGAAACTATATATAGGAGAGCTCCTGATTGAGAAAGTTGCAAAAAAGTGCTGCTTCTCAACTTGTTTAAGGAGAATTTCATTCTAGAGTACACTTTCCGGACTTATTATCTTATAACACTGCATCCGAGGGTGTGACATAGTTGTTAATAAAGTGGGAGAAGAGTCATGAGGTCTTAAGTTCAGATCCTATCGGACGTTAAAAACACTTGGTGATTGGTGATGTGATACCGTCGAATTTGTTAACATCTTTTTTCTCATGACCTTGTATGACTAACATATTAGCTTTTTAATATTATTAATTCTACATTCCACAACACAATAGACATATTAGTTGAAATGTAGCCAAACGTTCAGCTATAAATCAAAGATCAAATTTGTTAACTATAAATTGAGGTAAAGACCCAAGTTCATATTGTCCCAAAAGCCCAAAAAAAAAAAAAAAAAAAAAAAAAGACACAATACGTACAATTTTGTCATTTTAAGGAACAACCATACTAGCACAAGGTACGACATTTGGAAAAGTTATACTAACAGAGTCAATTTGTTAAGGAAAACATCGTTCTCTGCTGTCTTGTTAACATTGCTCCAATGATTCCACTAACCATTCCACTTCATCCTTCTCCATTCTCATTTACCAATCCATCAAAATCAAAAACCACCATTTTCACTTTACCCAAACAGACCAAGAATCTTGATTCCTCAAGCTACATTTTCTACTTCACCGAATTCTCCTCTTTGGACCATCTCAGAAATAATGAGGGCTGTGAATGGCAGAATCATTAAGTTGTGTCCACCTGGAAAAATCTGTACCGACACCAGAACACTTGAACCAGGACAATGGTTCCTCCCCCTTGTTGGCCAAAACTTAGATGCCCACAATTTCATTAGCCACGAGAGGCTGTGTTGGAGTAATTGGGAACTGGGTTTGTGGGGGTTGGAACAATGGGTTTGTAAAAGTGGAGGCTGATACTGTAATTTCTTTAAAAGGTTTGGGCTTTTATGCAAGAAACGAGTTGCTTCGGTTGGACCGTCCCATTGACTCCGAGAAAGATGTGAATTTGCTTCGGTTGAACGGAATCGTAGAAACGGAATAGGAGATGTAATAATTAGGCTAGTCGTTTCATGAGTTACCGCTCCGTTTTTTCAATTTCTGCTTCTTATTGTCTTGTTCAGCTGTATTATGAGTCATTGGGTTGGTTGTCCAGGTAGAGTTTTGGTAAGGTTTGAGACACTTAGCCTCATTTGAGTAAGTTTAAGTTGGAAAAATCAACTGGATGTTGACTTATGTGAAAAAGGGCTCAGATGTGAATTCTGATAGTTCGGATAGCTTCGGGAGGTGATTTGGGACTTAGGAGCGTGATCGGAACGTGTTTTGGAGGTCCGTAGTAGATTTAGCCTTGAATTAGCGAAATTGGAATTTTTGGCGTTTTTCGGTTGGTAGATGAGATTTTGATATAGGGGTCGGAATAGAATTACGGGAGTTTCAGTAGGCCCCTTGTGCCATTTGGAATGTGTGTCCAAAATTTCAGGTCATTCGGACGTGGTTTGATAGACTTTTTGATCAAAAGCGTAATTCGGAAGATTTTTGGAACCTTAGGCTTGAATCCGATGTGTTTTGGTTGATTCGATGTTGTTTGAGGTGTTTTGAGGATTGGTATAAATTTGGATGGTGGTATGACTTATTTATGCTTTTGGTTGAGGTCCCGGGGGCCTTAGAGTGATTTCGGATGGTTGACGGGGAATTTAGGAATTGGGAGTTTGCAGCTGAAGTTTTAGGCTGTTGTCATAACCGCATCTGCGGTTGGGAGGCCGCAGCCGCAAGTGCGACCCCCGCAGATGCGGAAGCAAGTCGCAGAAGCGGAATGGGCCACGGGGAGCTGGAACCGCAGAAGCGGCTAGGTTAGCGCATCTGCGATAGCGCAGGTGCGGATATATTATCGCAGATGCAACTTTAGGCATTTAAGTGAAAACCGCAAGTGCGATGGTCAACACCAAAAAAGCGGGACCGCAAAAGTGGTAATAGTACCGCAGACGCGAAAAGCCTGGGTCAGGAAGTATAAAAGGTCCTCTTCGCAAAATTTTGGTTATTTCACCATTTCTAAGAAGATTTTGGTGCTTTTTGGGAGATTTTGAAGAGGGATTTCATAGAGATAAGGTTTTTGGACCCTAAACTCGTTTATATGGTGTTTCATTTATTAGGCTTGAAATTTATGGAAATTTGTGGGTAAATATTGAAGAAACTAGGGCTTGAGATTGGAGACTTTTGAGTAAGGATTTGAGGGGTCATTTGTGGTCAGATTTTTGTATTCTTGGTATGAATGAACTCGTGGAGTGATGAGGATTTCATTGATGTAAATTTTGTCGGATTCTGAGACGTGGGCCCGGGGATTGGGTTTGGTAAATTTCGGGATTTTGCGTTGTATTTTGATTTCTTTCGAGTGGGCTTTGTTCCCTTAGCATATTTTGATGGTTATGTACTGATTTTTGTTAGATTTGGAGCATCCGGAGGCCGATTCGAGAGGCAAAGGCATCGTGGGCTAGAGTTTGGACCGGATCGAGGTGAGTAATGATTGTAAATGTTGTCCAGAGGGTGTGAAACCTCATATTTCACATCGTTGTGCTATTTTGAGGTGACGCACACGCTAGATGACGAGCGTGAGGTCGTGCACCATTGGGGATCGTGACTTAGTCCGTCCTGTATGACTGTTTAACTGCGTATTTGATTGAAAACCGTTTGTTATCATCATGTTTTGGGTTGAATGTCATATTTGGGTCTCGTGCTAACTGTTTTGGACCCTTAGGGGATTTTTACTACTATTCCTCACTGTTTTGACTTTATATTTATATTCAGTCATGTTATATTCTACTATTTTCATAACTCTGCCATGTTTACTCTGTTTTGACATCTTAAATGATATTTGAGCTGAGCATCATATTTTACTGTGCCCGAGTGGCTTTGTGAGATTCTGACTGAGTAAGGCCGAGGGTCTGTGTTATGAGGATATTATGGGATCGGGCTGCACGCCACACCGGTATGGTACTGATTCATGATTATGAGGCCGAGGGCCTGAGTTGATATGACACAAGGTGGCTTGATATGAGGCCGAGAGCTTGTTTGATTATGTCACGAGATGGTTTGATATTGCGCTTAGGACGTAAGGGGCCCCTCCCGGAGTCTGCACACTCTCAGTGAGCGCATGTACCCAGTGCGAGATGTGATATAGCCCGAGGGGCTGATGTTGTTCCATGTTATTGCCCGAGGGGCTGATTCTGTTGATATTTTGCCAGAGGGGCTGATTTTATGTGTATCTTTTCTCTTTTTACAGCTTTTCATTTACTCGTTTAAACTGCTAAGAGATGTTTAAAGAGGTTTTCACGGTATTAAGGTGTTTTTATGAGCTTTCATTGTTTTATTGTATTGTATTGGTTTTATACTGCCTCGTTGTAGCATTTTGCTATATTTTACGTGTTTTCTTATCGCTCAGCTACTTTTACTTTTATTACTCACTGAGTTGGCGTACTCACATTACTCCCTACACCCCGTGTGCAGATTCAGGAGTCTCGGGTCATGCTAGCGAGTGATGATTTGCTTTCTAGCAGGCTTGTTCGGAGTTGACTAGGTAGTTGCTCGGCGTTCGCAGCTCAGTGCTTCTCCTTCCTATCTTTATTTCACCTTGTTCTAGTTTGCATTAGACTATGTTGTCTTTCATACTCTTAGACGGATTTTAGATGTTCATGATTGGTGATACCCCGATGTCGGATTGTGTTTATTTTCGCACTGTTCTATTCTACTCTTTATTTTGGGATTATCAGTTTATAAATGACTTAAAATAAATTATTATAACTGTTAATTGATATTGGGGGTTTGTGTCGGTTGGCCTTGTTTTACGATAGGCGCTATCACAACCGGATCCGGATTTATGGTAGTGACAGGAGAAGACAAAGAAGGAAAGGACGACTAGATAGACTTGAGTGAAACCGTCCATTCAAAATAATGAGAAACAAACAAGACTTGTAGTAGTTTATCTAGTTGGAATGACTTTTATTTCAAAGCAAGAAAAAAGAAGAAGAAAAGGAATAACATGTCTTTCAACAATATCAAAGAGTATTCTATTTGTCCATGATCCTAGCTCCCAGCATCAGCATACCTTGATCTCTCCTGCAGAAAGGAGGAAAATTATAAATAAAACAAATAGAGAGAAAGTTGTGTGGAAAGAAACCACTAAATCATTCACAATATTCCATCTACTATAGTGCAATATAAGTCAACATACATTAAAAGAAGGAATAATCATGTAGACATTATTGATGTAAAGGACACTCAAACCTTTATATTGACTCTGAAGAATGAAATAATCATGGAAGAAACAACAACAAGAATAAGTCAACAACAATGACCTAGTAAAATACTATTAGTGGGGTATGAGGAGGGTAGTGTGTACGCAGACCTTACCCCTAGTCCGAGGGAGTAGAAAGGCTATTTCCGATAGACCCTCGGCTCAAGAAGACGAAAAGAGACAATATATCAGTACCATCAACAAATACTATAGATCATGGAAGAAACAGCCTTAATAATAATGATACAGTCTCAAAGGTATATCTAATACAGTGGCAGTAGCTGGACATGAATATATATTGAAAATCATTTTAATATGAAAAAATAAATTCTACTAACCTTTCAACTGGATGTGACCATCTATTCAGTATCAGGGGGCGATAACGTGAGCTTGAATTTGATGCTTTTCATGAGTTTCTTGCGCTCTATTTCTCTCGCTGATTTGGCTGCTTTTCTTGTGTTCTCCAGCTTCATCTCTTCAAGGCTAGGTACATCAGCCAGCTCATATGGCACTGCTTCAAGATTTTCACAAAATTTAAGAACAAGGTGTCTGATATTTAGAAGCCTCCCAATTTTCCAAGTCTGCCCCTTCAATCCTTAAGACCTGGAGTTTATTAAAACCACCTCGTTTCACCTTCCAGTACATCCTCTCTAATGCATTTTCTTTCAATTTCAGGACCTCAAGGCATTCCAACCGCCCCAATATATCCGCCTCGCTCCAATCAAACATTGTCTTAGACAGAGTTAACTTCTTCAGTGTGCATAGAAACTTGAAGAATGATGGAGGAAGATAAAGTTTACGCGAGTAAAAACTATCATTTTATATTATCAAATGTTCCAGGCACTTAAGCTCTTCAAGATTTTGCCATCCACCCTTGCTAGATTCAACGAAAGTCTCCATATTCCCTCGTATACCCATCTTTTTAAGATTACAAGCTTTTGCAAAGATATCTTTCGTGCAACTTTTCGGTGTAATCAGAGAAAGAGTTTGTAGGCAAGAAGGCTTCACCTGTTGGGATAGGAGGTGGCGGCAATTCTGCAGGGACGTTGGTGTGAAGATGCCTCAACCGCAACAACTTCCATATATTTGCTTTTATCTCAAGGGTGGAATTTGATGTATTAAGTATAAGAGTTTGTAAATATAAGAATTTACCTAAGGGTACAGGAATAACCTTGAAGTCACCTGAGATGTCACCTGAGATAGCAATATATCTCAATAGAAATAACTGGAAAAACTCTTTGGAGAAAATTACTAGATGACCGGAGTCAAAGTCCAAAACCCTAAGCAATGGAAAGGCTTTGGTGATGTGTTTGATGTCACTTGGCCACAACCTCATTTGACTTCGTGTTGAGGTAAAACAGTAAAATGATCTAAGATATGCTCTCCAAATGGCTTTGTGGAGAGAAAATCATTCACAACAGAGGATTGAACACACAATTGACGAGTAGTCTCTGGTGGTATACTAATGCCAACAGAGGCGGAGTTAGGATTATAAGTGTATGGGTTCTAATTACAAATACAGGGTCTCGAAAAAAGTCACTGAATTTTCTTCTACTGTAGCTCTACTGTAGACATGAAGATTTTCTTCTTAATAAGGGTATAATTCTAGCAGTAAGTGAAACATGACTCTATTCCAACAAATAATCAAATCAAGAATAAGGGATGATGCAGTTAAACGAGACCCAAATGCCAAAAATGAGTATGTTGTGCAATTTTTACACCTTTGAACAAATGTCAAATAAATCGGGAAATGGGAGTACCTGATAAGCTTCAAAATCATCAAAATTGAATCTTGATCGAGCAACAGTAAATTCAACATGATCAAGAATATCTTTTTGTAAACTAACTGCATCATTCTTCAAGAACTCATCCATTAACCCAAACATCTTCTCTGCTTTCGCTTTCCTCCCTCCTAAGTTCAACCCAGCTTTCCTCACAACCACTTATCTCCCACTATTGGTGTAAAAGGGGGTTTTGGGAGCTGATTTTCGCTGATTTTTATAGGAGTTTAATGGAGTTTTGTAGTTGAAGTTTGGGGTGTTTTGGAACTGGAGTTTGAGAACAACTTTCATGGAGAAAAGCTATTGGTTTTCAATTGAGTAAGAAGGCTCTTTAATGGTGGAAAATAGTGTTTTTGTTACTGGAGAGGAAGGAGTTGGTACGCCTCTTTTCATCTAGGGTTTTTTAATCTCTTGGTAGAACCCCAACTTTTTTGATTTGGAAGTTGAAAAGATTAGAAAAAACAGTCACGATGTCGTTTAATTTGTGCTATCTTAAAAAGAAAAATGGTAAAAAAACAAGAAAATAGCTAACTACTTTCAGCAAGATTCGAACCCGCGTGCTCTCCAAGCGAACCCAAAACTCTTACCATTGAACCCAGACACATTTTGTTACTGGGTTCGGTAGGATATATTTATATATAAAAAGTAAATTTTTCAATACAAATACCGGGTCTCGAAAAAAGTCACTGGGTTCGTCCGAACCCGCACCCTCTACCGTAGCTCCGCCCCTGACCGCCAATATCTTCAGATACTTGTTGAAACGACCATTTTTTGGCCTCCTCTTTGCAAAACTCGTGCAAAAGGTCATGTTTGGCTGGTTTGATAGCCATGTTGTTGCATTCCAAATTAACATTCCACTAATGATATTGCTTTTACTTGGTAGTAGTTCATAATGAGGACTGTTTTGGTTGTTTTAAGCTCTAAATGGTAGTATTTTGTTATTGAAAACCGACGGGAAATATCTTTTTTTTTTCTTTCAGTAATTCAAAATTTCCGGCCGAATTCGGTCGGAAATTATAAATTTATATTTATTTTTTAAAATAAATTAACAATTTATTACAATTTACAACTAATTATTTAATTAAATAATTGTTTTTTTACATTTCCGACCGAATTCGGTCGGAAATTAATAATAAATAAAAACAATTTAATAGTTTCCGACCGATTTCGGTCGGTACACGTTTGCGACCATCGTTTTCCCGACCAATTAAAATCGATCGGAATTCGGTCGGAAATTGATAATTTCCGACTGATTTCGATCGAAAATAGTGGACAGAATTACACTGTTTTTTTAGTAGTGTGTAAATATAAGGCAATATGGCCACCAGTCTCTTTTTGTTTTTTGACTTCTTTTTTTTCTTTTTTAAACTCTTTTAGCGAGCATACTTTTTTTTTTTTTTTTTGGAAAAGTTAAAAAAAATTATCCATTCAACTTTATGGGTTCCGGATTATAGAATGATAACTTCATGTATTAACAACTGCGTTCTAAATTCAATATTTGTACATTTTTAATAAATTTCTTAACACAAATATAGTATTTGAGCAAAAGCTACTGGGTTCAGCCGAACTCGTTAACGTGCTTCTGGCTCCGTCCCTTTCAACCACTCATTGAACCACAGTTTACGTTCTTTTTGAGAACTTTCAAACCTTCTTGATGTTCTTCATTACCTGGATAGTATTTCTTTTTAAGCATATGAAAATAATCTGCATTGTGGATGACAGAGGTGCAGAGAGATTTAGGACTCTTCAATCAGCAAGGAACAGTTGGAGATGCCATCTATACTCCAAACCAGTGGTACAATCATTCATTGAGAAAATTCTGGAGGCTGGATTGACAAACATAAGATTTGACAAACCTCAACTGCTTGGCTACTACCTAAAATGGAATTTCTCACATTTTAGACCATTCCAAAATAAAGCACACGCCTCTGGCAGATTATCCAGTCCAAGCTATTCTCGCGAGAGATCGATGGCCAAAGTGATCACTTTTTTGAAGTTCCAAAACCCCCAAATCCCATCATAGTTGCAACTTCAGGGTCTATTTCAGGTTCCTCCTCTGCAGCCTTCTCTTTCTTCTTTTCTCGACGTTGACGTTTCCTTTCTTCCTCTTCCTGCTGTTGTTTCAACAATCGCTCCTCAAAATCTTGCACAGTAAAGCTTCCTATCCGTCATTTGGCTAAAATATTATTAGGGTCCATTTATCAAATAGATAAGGAGGGGTACAAATTCAATCAGAGTATTAGAAATACATTTCATATTAAGAATCTTCGTTGCTGATTTTCCTTTTCTAATAGAAGCTGCAGGCTTTGGTAGAAAGGAGAGTTGGTTAATATAGCATTTCTACTTTCCTCCTTAATGAATTCTTTGAACATTTTACTTTGTAGACCTGACTAGAATAATGGAATGAATGTGGAGGATTCGTATAAACTATCCTGACTAGTTTGGAATTGAGAAACAGTTGACCATTTGATTGACTTTCAACTTTGTGGTTGCTGCCTCAGCAAACAATTCCTGCAGCTACAAAGGAGTTGGTGAATGCTAGTTCTTAATCCCTTTTTTTTGTGTGTAATCTTTATCACAACTTGTTTGGATGGTTGTTAGCTATTGTATCGTATTATTACTTTAAATACAATGTTTATTTTGATTGTTACTTATATTTTATTGTATCACATCGTAAATCTGTTACATAACAACGAAAAGTGTCACTTTATGTAACAACCAATTAGGTGTGATCACATCGTTACCTTAATTTTTTCTCTCATCTTATCCTTCCTTATTATTAAGTAATCCTATTTTATCTTTCGCTCTACCTTTTTATATAATAATTCTAACATGTAGCTTACTTTTCTTTATAATTTTGCAAGTTTATTCTTTATATTATTTGTGCATGACATCATGAATTGACGGCAAATAATACAATCTATCTATAATGTTTACATCAAAACAATACAATATAATACGATAAGTTATGAAACGATACATAACGACCATCCAAACAAGCTGTTACCTCTCCATATGCAGTAGAATACTATTCTCATTTAAGAAAAAACTATTAGCATCTCTTTGGGATATGAAGTTTAGAACCCTATGCAAATATAACATTTGTTTATTATTATTTATTTCTTGTTTCTTTACATATTTGAAGATGGTTCAATACTTCAATTGACTAATGGGTAACCTTCTCATTTGCGTTAATAATAGTTTTGACTCGTGGAAGTAGCTAGCTATAGAATCTTCATTTTCAAAGGAACGGCACTGTCATTATTATTCAATATCAGCAATTAATATTGTCTCAAAGAACCAGAGACAATTGGTGAGTTCAAAGAAAAAATTAACTAGGAAACATAGAAATTCATTATATATGAATGAAATTAAAATCGTTTATAAGTAAAAAAAAAACAAACATAATTTGTCTTGATGAAGCCCAATTATCTAGTTGGAAAAACCATGTTCTTAATGTCATAAAAAGGGAAAAGTGCAATTACATGTCTTTCCCCTATATCCGTGCTTTTTAAACAGAGATAGTAAATACAGAAGTAAACCAATACAGACACAACAGAAATGGAAAGATGAACACAGTTTGATTACAACTCTAGAAAGAAAATCAACGAAATGTAACCACACATACACTATTTTAAACTTCACAATACAACAACAACAACAAAAAACCGAGTGTAATCTCACAAGTGAAGTCTAGGGAGGATAAATGTACGCAGACCTTACCCCTACCTTCAAGAAGGCAGAGAGGCTGTTTTCGAAAGACCCTCGGCTTAGGAAAAATAAAAGAAGGGCAGCAGCAAGCAACACCAATCAAAAAACCGAAGCTATTTCAAACTCCACAATGCTTGAAAAAAAAAACACAGCATGTTCTTTATTGGAATGAAGTCTATCACATCAACAGACTGCAGAAAACAAGATATGCAGTGACTCCTTAATTATCTAAGGGCAATATATTTTGTCCATGATCCCAGGCTCCCAGCGACATAATTCCTGGATTCCCCTGCAGAAAGGACGAAAGTAAATAAAAGAAAAGCACTAAATTAATAATCTCGGATAAAGCAGCCTTAAAGGATATATATTCAGCTAAATGAATGACATCATATAGAAATAGACGCAGCCTCATTGGAATATCTAATATTAATAATAGAATAAATGGCAGCCCGGTGCACTAAGCTCTCGCTATGCGCGGGTACGGGGAAGGGCTGGACCACAAGGGTCTATAGTACGCAGCCTTACCCTGCATTTCTGCAAGAGGCTGTTTCCACGGCTTGAACCCACAACCTCCTGGTCACATGGCAATAACTTTACCAGTTATGCCAAGCCTCCCCTTCATTAATAATAGAATAGGGGAGTGAATATAGTTGTGTAACTTGCATGAAAATTACAATGGATGTAAAAATCAGTTATTGAAAACTGACCTTTCACTGTGTGGCCTTCAAATCATCAGACTCAGGAGGGAATATGGTGAGGTTGAAATTGATGCTTTCCAGCTTCTTGCGTTGTATTTCTCTTGCTGATTTGACTGCTTTGATTGTGTTCTCCAGCATTATCTCTTGAAAGCTGTGTATACTAGCAAGCTCATATGGCACAGCCTCGAGTTTATCACAAGATATAAGAACAAGGTGCCTAAGCCTTGGGAAATGAAGTTGTGAAACCTCCCAAAGTTTCAAGTCTGCCATTTCAATCCACAGAACCTGGAGTTCACTAAAACCTCCTACCTCCGGCCTCCACGACTCTCCTGTGAATGCATCTTGTTTAAGTTTTAGGACCTCAAGGCATTCCAACTCCCCTAACCTACTTGCCTCACTCCAATCAAACTTTGTGTTTGACAAAGTTAACTTCTTCAATGTGCGAACAAATTTAAAGAATGCTACAGGAATGTGAAGCACTTCACTCGAGTAAAGAAAATCATTCAACAGTTTCAGTTCTTCCAGGGACTTCAGTTCTTCAAGATTGACGCACTTAGTTTCAAGAAAAGACTTCATTGGCCCTCGAATACTTAATTTTTTTAGATGACAAGCCTTTTTAAACACATTTTTCCTGCAACTCTGTGATGCAACCTGAGAAAGTGTTTGAAGGATAGAAGCTTTACCCGTAGAGGTAGAAGGACACGGCAATTTTGCAGGATCATTGGTGTGTATATGCCTTAACCTTAACATGTTCCATATATCTGCTTTTATTTCAAGAACTGGAGCCGATGTACTAAATATAAGGGTTTGTAAATTCCAAAATTTAACGAAGGCACATGGAAGGGCCATGAAGTCGCCTGAAATAGCAATATACCTCAAGTGAAATAGTTGGAAAAAATCCCTGGAGAATAAAAATTTTAAGGACTCAATGTCCAAGACCCTAATCAATGGAAATGATCTGCAGATAGATCTGATGTTACTAGGAGGCAACTCAATTTGTGTTTGTCTTGTGGAAAAACAATAAAAAGATCTCACATGCTCTACGAATGGTCTTGTGGAGAGAAAATCATGTAGAGCACGGGGCTGAACACACAATCGACGCGACATGCTTCGATCATGTATAGACATAATAGCCTCATCAAATGCTGGACGTACTTCTTGGAAAAACCATTTTTCACTAGCCTCCATTTTACAGAACTCGTGCAACAAGTCCTGAACACGGCATGTTTTTATTTTGCCATCGGACTTCTTCTGCATCACCATCACTAAATTTCTGTCGACAAGGCCGTTCAAATAATACTGTGCTGTCTCTTCAAGGGTGAATGCTGGTTTGGACTTTATTAAGCCCTCGGCAATCCACAAGCGAATCAGTTTCCAAATAGGGATATCAAAGCCTCGAGGAAAGACACCACAGTACAAGAAGCATGACTGTATCTCTTGGGGTAGACTATCATAATGAGCCTTTACAATATTCAAGCTGATTCTAGAATCATCTTTATTAATAAGATATTCCCCCATATTTTTGTCAACTCGTACCCAATCAACTTTACTCGTTCTTGCTCTCAATGCACCTGCAATCACCACTATCGAAAGTGGTAATCCACTACATTTTTTTGCAATGCTTTCTCCAAGTCTTAGTAACTCATGGGGACAACTTCTCCTGCCAAAAACATTCATTTTCAACAACTCAAAACTTTCATCTTCATTCAGAAATTTCAGATAATGAGGATTTTCATTGGCATAGGTAGCAACATTTCCTAAGCGAGTGGTCATCATGATTCGGTGTCCAAACCTGTTTTTCGGAAAAACTTTCATGACAGAATCCACAACTTCTGACTCCCACACGTCGTCTAAGACAATGAGACATTTACCTCCTTTAGCCACAAATGAACATATTAGCCTAGCTAATTCATTCGCATCCATATCTTGATATTCCTTAATGTTTCTCGTGAACCTATTGAGAATTTTAAGAAAGACATCCTTTATCTTGTCTAGCTGGCCGACATGAATCCAAATTTTACTGAAAAACTCATATGAAATTCGAGGATCATTATAAATTTTTCTTGCCAATGTGGTTTTGCCGAGTCCCGGCATACCCACAATGGGAATAATGTCCAGATCTTCGGATCCTTCAGTAAGTCGCTTCATCAGTATTTGCGCTTCCTCATCAAATCCGACCACTGCGTCAACCTCCAAAGAAAAATCCTTTTTAAAGTGCAACAGGTTGCACAGAAAAAAATCAGGTATTGGTTATATAATAGAAAAGTCTTAACTTTATGCTACTGTCATATGAACCTCTATTCAAACATGCCGATAAATATCAAATTGAGCACCATATATGTCTTGTAAAATAAATTTCTCAAGTAAATATGTCCAAAAGTACAGTACTTAATAAACAAAAGGTGTTTTTCCGACGGAGATGCTAGTTATTCCATACCTGATGAGCAAATGCTTTTATTCTTATTAAACCGAAACGATCAAATTTTCCCCTTTACTATGTGAAAAGGATCACTTTTACCATCCATTATTCTTTTCACACAAAAATACCCGTCACTACCCAAATGGCTAAGATATACCCCTCCTCCCTTAGGGTTGTCCTAGGTGGACTCTCAATCCACATTTTGATAAGGTGGAGACCACATGAAATGCCAACTCATCGCTTCAAACTAGGGGTGGCAAACGGGCGGGGGTCAGATATGGGCGGTCAAAACGGGTAATACAAAAAAAAGGATAAATTATCCAATGTGATCCAAAATGGGTTAACAGGTGGATATGAGTCTTTACAAATGTAAAAGTTAAACCTATTTGTTATATTTCCATTTTTTAAGTGGCTAATGTTATTTTTATTCATATTTGACTCATTTTTAAAAAATTTATTATCCAATCCATTTTTAGTTGATATTATGAATGGATAACTTTTTTTTTAAATCCATTTTGTCACTACTACTTCAAACCCATTTACCCCCTCTATTTCTTCTATCACCAGCACCTCCTACCCCTCCTCCACCCCATCACCATAAACTACTACTCAGTCATCTCCCTCTGCTGCGACTACCCATCTATTTCTCCTGCCAAACCAAGTTGTAGGTTCTCCTCTTTCTTTTTCCAGTGATTTTAGCGCAAGGAAATGTGAATAGATCAAGTTGCAATTCTACTTCATAGAGGAATGCTTAAACTTTCATTTTGGCATAGTTCTTTAAGAATTTTACAGTTGATTCGCATTCTTATTAGTTTCTCAAATGATAATAATGGCTTAAAATCTTAATGAAGCTTGTAACTAAAGGTTACAAAATTTTCAAGTCAATTATTTATCCGAAAACCTATTTCCATTCTCGCTATATATATCACCATTTCTAATCAATATGTTAAGACACCCTTTAAATACAAATGAACTATGTTAATAACTCGCATGTTTTGAACGGCGGAAAACTAATTTCTTCTCATTCTTATGCGCTAGAGAATTGATATTACATTATGTTTACGCATCTTTCTGTTGTTATATTCAGATTTGTTTTCTAAGACTTAAATAGATGATATATCAATATTTGAGTATAGTGGTATTAATAGTGATGGTGGTAGTGGATAGAAGGTGTTGGTGATAGAAGAAATTGGGGGAAGGGATAAATGAGTTTGAGGGGATGAGGAGGCATACCATATGGTGTCCACATGTTGAGCTGAGCACAATAAGAAAGGATTAGGACATACAAAGATCAAAACCCAATCCACATAGCAAGTATGTCGATATCCCTGATAATCGTTTGTGTACACATTGTGATAATAATGTACACTCCAAAGAAGCATGCAATGCTAGAATCAAGTCCAACTAGAAAAATATTGCATATATTGAGAAAAAGAAAATTGATAAACCTGGTTCTTGATTAAAAGGTGCAAGACTTCTAGATTGGGCTAAAAAATGTGATTCATCATTTTACTCAAAGAAAGGGACCCAAACTTGTTTGAGTTCCTAAATATTTTTGTAGGCTAAAGTGATGGAAAGCAAAAATTGATGGTATATTGATAGTGCTTGCTTCCGCCACATGAATGGAAAAAGAGAAAATTCTCTCTCACGGTAAGTCTACCAAAGAGGAAGTGTGGGTTTTGAAAATGGTTTGAATGAGATATAATTATCATAGGTAAAGTTGGTAAGTCTCACTCTTATGCTATTAAAAATGTATACTATATTAAAGGTATTAAGAACAACTTGCTGAGTATCTCCCAAATGTGTGATAAAGGGAACCATGTTGTTTTCGCTTCTAGAAGTTGTATTGTCACAAATAAAAATTTAGAAACCTGGTTCTCAAGGGAAGAAGACACAAAAATATTTACAAAGCTGATATTATGTGTTCACCTAAGAATGAACTGACATGTCTTAGTACACTTGATAATGATTCATTTCTGTGGCATAAAGGGTTAGTACATGCTGGTTTCTCTCTGATAAATAAACTAATCACCAAGGACCTAGTTCTTGGTCTGCCAAAGACAAAATTCAAGGAAGATAAGGTATGTGATGCTTATGTCTAAGGTAAACATATTAGATCATCCTTCAAATTAAAGAAGGCGGTAAGTGCATCTCGACCTCTAGAACTTCTTCTCATGTATTTATGTGGACCTATGAGAATTCAAAGTAGAGGTGGGAAGTGACATGTATTTATAATTGTTGATGACTACTCTAGGTTCATTTGGACCTTATTTCTTACAACCAAAGATGAAACATATGATATATTTGTAACTTTTGTGAAGAAACTACAAAGAAGATGGATATTCATGTAGCTAGTATTCGATCAGATTATTACATTGAATTTGAAAATGCTAGTTTTTTTTTAATATTGTGTAAGACATGCCATTGATCATAACTTTTCTGCACCTAGAACTTCACAACAAAATGGTGTTATTGAAAAGAAAAATAGGACATCATGGCAAGAACCATGTTAATTGTTAATGGTCTCATTAAAATATTCTGGGTTGGAGCTATGAATATTGCATGTTACATTATTAATAGGTGCATGATTAGCCCAATAATTAAAAAGACCCCTTATAAATTGCTTAAATGCTGAAAACCCAATATAACTCATCTAAGGGTATTTGGTAGCAAGTATTTGTGTATAATAATGACAAAGATGTTCTAAGAAAGTTTGATGCTAAAAGTGATTAAGGAGTCTTTTTTGGTTATTTTCCACGTAGTAAAGCTTATAAAGTTTTTAATAAAAGAACCATATGTGTTGAAGAAAGTGTGTATGTGATTTTTGATAAACTAATCACTTGGTTGAGAGAGGTACAAATGCCGCATATGATGGAGAATTTTGACTCACACAGGTGTATGATGATCAATCAAACCATAAACTTCCGGAGCTGTTGCAGGGAAAGAACAAGAACGTAGTCCTATGGAAGTTGACCACCATGTACAACAGACAATGAGAACTGATCAAGCTAATGATGCAGGTGACAATGAACCTGGTCCCTCTGCAAATTAGGAAGCAAATAATGGCACACAAGGGCTATAAGTAAAATCATGAAAGAATCAAAGTTCTCATCCGCTCACAAATGTTCATACACAGGTTGATTCTAGAATGGTGACAAAATCAAAATTTAAAAACATGATTGCCTTCTTAGCCTACTTGTCTATGATTGAGCCTGTAAAATTAAGAAGGCTCCTTAAGATGCTGATTGGATTATGGCCATGCAAGAGGAATGTCATCAATTTGAGAGAAATAAGGTGTGGCACCTAGAACCTCGACCAAAGGAAGAACAATCATAGGAACTAAGTGAGTTTTCAGAACAAACTTGATGACCAAGGTAAAATCAGAAGGAACAAAGCTAGACTAGTAGTATAAAGGTATAATCAAGAAGAAGACATCGACTATAATGAGATAATTGCTCATATTGCCAGAATGGAGGCTATTCGAATGCTCATTATCGTTGCATCCTACATGGGGTTCAAACCATATCAAATGGACGTAAAGAGTGCTTTTCTCAATGAGTATTTGAAGGAGGTAGTATTTGTATGTCAACCTCCAAGCATTGAGAGTCATGAGTTTTCTGATCATGTGTATAAATTGGATAAGGTACTATATGGGTTAAAGCAAGCGCCAAGAGCATAGTATGAGAAATTGTCAAAATTCCTCCTGGTGAACGAGTTCTCATGTAGAAAATTGATAACACATTATTTTTGTTGAAGATTGGCAAGAATTTTCTAACTGTCCAAATATATGTTGATGATAATCTTTGATGCTCCTAATGAATCCATGTGCAATGAGTTTGCAAAACTTATGAGAAGTAAATCTAAGATAAGTATAATGGGAGAGTTAAATTTTTTCTTGAGCTGCAAGTTAAACAAACTGCGAAAAGAGATAATACATCAACAAAAATACATCAAGGAGTTGCTTAAAATGTTTGATTTGGATAGTGCAAAGACAATCTATACTCCTATTGTAACAGCGACAGGCTGGATATGGATGAACCTGGTCTTCCCGTTGATGAAAAGAAATACATAAGTATGATTGGGTTTTTGCTCTATCTAACTCAAAGTAGACCAGATATTATATACAGTGTTGGGCTTTGTACAAGATTTCAATCAAGTCCCAAGGAGTCATATCTGAAAGTTGTGAAAAGGATCTTGAGATATGCGAAAGGTACTCAAGACCAGGTTCTTTGGTATCCTTCGGGTGATATGTTTGACTTGATTAGGTATGAAGATGTTGATTACACTAGTTATCTGATGGATAGGAAGAGCTTATCTGGGATGACTCACTTCCTAGGTTCGTGTTTGATCTCATGGTTTTCAAAGAAATAAAAATTCCATAACACTATCTATTGCAGAAACTGAGTATGTGGTTGTTGCTTTATGTTATGCTCAATTGTTGTGGATCAAATAGTAGTTAGAATATTATGGTGCAGTAATAGAATGAATTCCTATATTGATGTGAGACATCACTTTTTGTGAGATAATGTAGAAGGAGTTTTGTAAAACTAAGGAGCAGATTGCCGATATCTTTACCAAAGCTTTGAGTAGGGATCATTTCGAAAGAAACCGCTAGGAGGTTGATTTGATCAAAATAAACTAAGGACGTTCTTAATTCCCTCAGTGATTGGATGTGTTTAAATAAAGTATTTGGTGAATCTAAGTGTGAAAATATCTAACATAGTCTTATATTGTAATAGGTATGCATGCATGATGACAAAGGCTTAGATATTTTATCCAATAAAAATATCCTTGATCTCAAAAGGACTTTTGGCC